CAAGAAGCGGAGGGCGCGGCGAGAGCGCAGAGAACAGGGGGCAACACAAGGGGGAGGGGCCGCAGGGGAACAGGGAGGGAAAGGCAGGGGAGAACCAGGGGGGACGGGGCAGGGCGGGAGCAAACAAAACAGCCAGGACCCAAGGAGCCGAGGAAAACCGGAGCAGGGGGGCGGACAGAAAGGGCAGGGCGGGGAGCGCGAAGAGACCGGAGGAGAGGGGAAGCAGGAGGCAAGGACGGCAGGGGGGGGGAGCACGAGAGGGGCGAGCAAGGGCAGCGCAAAGAGGGGGCGAGGAGGGAACGGCGGGGGCGAGAAGGGGGCGCCAACGAGAAGGAAGGAAGGGACGGCGAGGCCAAAAAGGGGCCGGAGCGGCGGCAAGAGAGGAGGAGGCAACCGGGAGGGGGAGAAAAACAGGACACGGAGAGGCAGAGAGACAGGGGAAAAAGCAGGGGGAGAGGGAGGCGGACGGGGGGAGAGAAAAAAAGCGGCAAAGAAAAACGCGAGCGGCAAGGCGAGAGAAGACGGAGAGCGGGCACAAGCGGGGGAGGGCAAAAGGCGCAGGCGGGAAACAGGAACGGACAGCAGCAAGCGCGGGAGAGAGGGCAGGGAGGGGGACACCAGCAAGCGGGACGGAGAGAAGAAAGAAGAAAGAAGGGCAGGAGCAACCCGGGAGCGAGCACACAAGGGGACAGAGGAGGCCGGCAAGGAGGAGAGGAACGCCAGGCGCAACCCGGGAAAGAGGAAAGAAGGACACAGAAGAAGACGGAAGAAAGCCGCAGGGCGAGAAGGAGGAAGCCAGCAGGAGGGCGCAAGAGAAAGGGAACGGCAGAGCGAAAGGGAGGAGGCGGCCAAGGGGAGGAGGGAGCGGAACGGAAGGCCAGGGACCGGGGGAGAGGAGAGGGAGGAAAAGCAAGGAAGGGGCGCGGCGGGAACCCAGAGGCGACAAACGCGCGGGAGCACCGCAGGAGGCGGAGGGCGCGGGCAGGCACACACCCAGGGGGAACCGGCAGGGGAACGCGCAAAGGGGGAGGGGGAGAAAGAGAAGGGAGCAGGGGAGCGAGGCGAGCGAGGCCGGAAGGGCGCCGGGAGAGAGGAAAGAGGCAGGGCACGGCGGGGGCCGAACGCGGGAGCCAGAGGAGCAGAGAACGAGCAAGGGGGAAGGGCAAGGGGGGGCGACAACGAGAACCGGGGGGAAAACGCCAGAGGGGGAAAAGGAAGGGCAAGGGCGAAAACAACCAGAGGCGAAACAGGGCCAAAGAGAGGGGGAGCGGCGGGCCGCAGCCCGAGGAGGACGGGGGGGGGCACCGAGAAGGCGGACCAGGGGGGGCGGCAGCGGGACGAACGGCGGCAGGACAGAAGGAGGCAAAACGAGGGCAAGAGGGACAAGAGGGCGGGACGAGAGCGAGGAGGAGGAGCCAGAGCGCGGGCACCGAGAGAGCGCCGACACGGCGAGGGGCAAGGAGGAGCGAGAGAGAGGGGGGGCCAAGGAGAGAGGACCGAGGCACGGCGGGAGGAGCAGGAGGAGCAAGAGAGGGAGGGGGCAGAGGAGGGGCGAAAAGCGCAAAGAGAGGAGCGGGGGAACGGCCAGGGCAAGCGAACGAGGACAGGGAGGGAAAGAAGGAAGAGGGGGGAGGCGGAGGAAAGGGCGGGGCAGGCCAAAAAGCGACGGAGGAGGAGAGGAGCCCCCGAAGGCCGAGAAACAAGCGGCAGGAGGAAGGCAGGCAACGGACCCAAGGAGAGGGAGGAGCCCCGAGCAGGGGCGGGCGGGAGGGAAGCAAGAGAGAGGGGGGCGGGGAGAGCCCGGGGAGAGGGACGGGGGGGGGGAGAGAAAAAGAGACGGCGCAAAGAAAAGAACGCAGAGAGGGAAAGGGACGGCGGAAACCACGGACGAGGGAAAAAGGGGGAGAGCAAGCCGGGAGGGAGGG